CAAAAACAGTTGCTGTTGCAAAAACACGACACACGATCGGTTAACATACGTGCTATTGGTTAGTCAACAAGTCAAATGTCAAAACACACCACGGAATCTTCGCAGATTTCTGTATCTAGTGGAAAACGCAGCTCTTTTTTATTTCTCATGTGTCAGACTGTGACTGAAGATAACTATACACCTACTTGATATTTCTTTTGTTTACGCCGACTCGACGATCGATAACCAAGCAGTACTAACGACTAATTAGCAACACAGTTGCTTCATTAAATAAAATAATCACGTACTCCTTGAGTTTCCTTTTGGCAATTTTACGCCCTTGGCTAATACACTTTTTTTCAGGATTGCGCCGAATTTCGCAAAGCGTAGGTGCCTCAGAATTATGTGAAAAAAAATTTTGAGTTAACATTTTTAGATTTTTTTGCGATTCGTGCTGCCATTTATTCCTATCGTTCAAAATGACACGTTACCAAAGCTACGGTAAAGCAGAGACGGTATTGATTTAATCAAAATCCAAATAAAAAAATGTTTTCGGCTGTGAAACAAGGTCTCACTCTTAATCAAACCTCCTGTAATACGTACTAGGTACAAGTTGCTTCATAAGTAACAATTTCATTTTTTTTTTCTTAATACAAGAGACTACTGGATCATTTTTTAATGCAGGTGTTATATTACACGTGTTCTGGCGGTCTAAACTTTAGAACTAGAATTAATACATAAATTTAAAGTATCCAGGCTTGATTAATATGTTTTTCTCTTAAACCCCTTGATTTACTAAACAAAGTATATTACAAAGATTAAACAAATAGACGCCGAATTACTATCGTTACTCATAGTGAGACAGATTATTTTTTACGGCTGGAGATTTTTATCGCAATTTTTATCTGATCAGTTCAAGGAATTTTAGGAAAAAATCGATAAAATGCGTTAGTTAATAACAAAATATCAAACGAAACTACCGAAAACATTTCAATTATTCCAATTCCAAAACTTTACAGATTAGATTACGTATATGAGTCTTACCAGTAAATATACGTCAGTAGCTTCTACATCAACTACAAAAAAGTTATGTGTGGTGTCAATATTGTATTTTTAATTGGTAATAAATAAAGATAACTTCGTTAGCTTGCTAATGGACTACTTTTTGTAGAATTATTTAATTTAATTAAAAAATTGCGTTTTAAAGTGAAAAACGTTAATCATTTTTTATGTCTGTTCTCTAGTTGAACCTGTAACCATTTTTTAAGGTTTCATAAATCTTTATTGTCACAGATGAATCAAAATTTACCTCACACACACCGAAAGCCCACAATACACATTTGTTTACGTTATTCCAAGGGCGTAACCCAAGAGAGGGATTGAGGGTATTTAGTTTTTGGTTTTTGCCTCTGAGGAACCTTTAATCATTTGAAATATAAAACGAGTAGTTTTTATATACGATTTGTCTTTGGGGGTCTTCCTAATTATAATAATAATTGCTGATATAGCGATTTGCACGCATCTTTTAATTAATTTGTTCTGTTCCGGAATGTATTTTTACGAGAAAGCAAATGAATAATTTATCTGAAATAATATCCTACATCGATGACCGTGACCTTAGCTTAATTCGAACACCTGAGCTTTGTTTTCGGTTCTGCTGGCATCAGAAATAACAATCGCATGTGATATTAAAAAAAAATTTGGTCCAGACCCAGATTCGCCTCAAGGATTTTTCAAAGAATAGGAGAAAAAAACATCGTGACGAAAACATAACAGACCCGCAGACCGACTATCTGTTTTTCTTTGTCTAGGGTAAACCGATGTCTATGTGTAACTAAGCCATATTCTTTTGTTTCTTTTTCGAGAAACTATTAAATCAATTCATTACGACAGCCTACAGATAAGAAAATAAACTCAAAGTCCTGATCGCACATAAAACGTTTGAGATCGGTTTCATCTTATTGTTTACTTAAGAGTTACTTATTTTAAAAGGTTACATCAGTGTTGTCAAAACAATGGATGGAAAAAGAGCTGTGGCGTTGTTTTGTCTGGGGTAGTTGATGAAAACCCACATTAAACAACTATCACTTATTTATTATTTAGTATTCCATTGCTGATATTTATTTATACACGAAATTATAGAAAAATCATCAGTCCTTAATTTTGCCGAAAACATGCGATTATGACCTATTGAAAATTAGAAATTTAATTAAAATCACAATAAACGACATTTCAACAGATGGTTCGCGAAACACGTCAAAGTAATAATTAGACGCTATTAATAAAAGCGCTTCTAACTGTTACTATTACTATTATCGAGACTATTATCTTTTAATACCAGCGTTAACAGTAATTCTGCAAGAATGTGTGCTTAATTACTCAAACATTCCATCGAAAGAAAAGGAACTTTTTTAACTAAACGATTCTTGCAAAAGTACGATCCTACTCGTTGAATAAGCCAACACATTAAAGACACATTAACAACAAATCAAGTGAATCTAAACTGAACAGAAAAAACTAATTTTATTAGCACTATTAAAAGTTCCAGAGGTAATTTAGTTAGCAAACAATTTAAGGGTGTTTTAACTGATTCGTTTTGCATCATTTCATATTCAGTGGGAGGATATCTGCCATTCTGCCATCCTATTTTCGTGTCATACTGATGCGTCGAAAGTCGAAACTGTCTTTTACACTGAAACAAATATAGCACAAAAACAAGTGCACTAAAGCAGGCTGCCAACTTACAAGGCCCAAACGAAACTTACTAAATTTGGCGCCATATTTGAAACGCCACCTTTACAAAACGAAAAGTTCCTAAGGCCCTGGATCAGTGTTGCCACTGGTGTCACAGACCACTGAAGTAGGGTTACCGTTACCAACCCATGGTACATCAATACTACCGCGTCAAATTAAAAATTACTAAATATAAAATATTATTTTGATGAATTATGACAACTAACGTGTTTGTTTAGAATTCGTATCGTTTATTTTTTTATACTAAATTAAGCACAAAATCAAGTGCACTAAAGCACGCTGCCAACCGACAAGGTCGAACCGAAACTTACTAAATTTGGCGCCATATTTAAAACGCCACCTTTACAAAACGAAATGTTCCTAAGGTCCTGGATCAGTGTTGCCACTGGTGTCACAGACCACTGAAGTGGGGTTACCGTTGCCAACTCATGGCACATCGATATTACCGCGTCAAATTAAAAATTACTAAATATAAAATATAATTTTTATGAATTATGCCAACTAACGTGTTTGTTTGGAATTCGTATCGTTTATTTTTGATACTTACTAAATTAACGCATATGTAGGTATACCAAGAATTCACATTAACAACTAATTATTTAAATAATGTTGATTATAAACACCGGACTGGTTTTAGTTATAAGAATAGATGTGTGGATGTTTGTTAACAAAACAAAATTGTTTTATTGTGTGTCTACAATAAAATTTTGGAAATTCACTTGGTAATCGATTTGAGTAATTTGAGCTATAGTGTATTTTAAAGTAAATTCTAGTTGCAGCTTCAATATAAAAGACATTACCTGAATGTGCAGGTGTAGGCGCATTTTTCTTTATGTGGCCGACTTTTCCGCGTGATGATAAGTAACTATCGATCCTTTTTCTTCGTAATACTAGCAAAATATTTCGCAATAGTTAACTACATAGTTTTCGAAAATAACTGTTTGCTCAGCAGATAGTAGATGAACGTTATACGCGGGCGGGTGTAGATTTTAAAAAAGTAACGGCATGAATGAAAATGCGTCTTTATGTCGGTCATAAGGTCGCTGGGGTATCTGGTGTAAACACGGTGGTAATTGTTGATAATTGGATAAATAAATTTTTGAGGTGGATACGCGCCGATTTTTACTACGAACGCTGCTTACATTTTTTGCCGGTAATGACTGGGTCAGTCACCGCGAATTTATAACAGTTCCTGTAGGTTCATGGAAATGCCTATTGCTAACGTTACCATTTTTTTTTTTCAAACCAAGTTTGGCATTTCGGTATTTGAGTAGCGTTGGATATTTTGGTAGCCATGGAGTAAAATCATGGAAAAGTAGCTTAGTCATTGTGACGATTGAATTATTCCTAAAAATCCATGGAAACTCACCATTAAAAATAAAAGTGGGAGGTGCGGGTCAATGACCCGACATTACGGACGTGGTTAATTTAAATCCAAGAAAAAATGTATTTGGATATTTTTCATGAATGAACTAGGATTATTCTGTTGTGGAACGGGTACAAGCTGGGTCCCCCTTCCAAAGCAGTCAAACTGAGGGGAACTTGACCTCATACTCGGCGATCTTCCGAGCTCTAAGCGGCACTGTTGCAGGTATTCCACCTAGGTCCCGGATATGGGTAATTTTGCGGGAAGCGCAAAATGAAACAAGCAAAACGCGAATCGTCAAAGACAAGTAAATAGAAAACGTTTGAAGTAATTGAAAGTGTTTGAGCACGTGGTTTCGCCACGCCCCAAAGCGTACTATAAGTTACTCCAAAGTGGGAGGGCAAATGTTATGACGGCAAGTCGAATCAATATCCCGCAATACATTCCATTGCAGACGCCACCCAAGATAATTTCCGGACAAGACTATAAAATTTACAAATTAACATTAACAAGATTTTACGCGACGAGGATGCCCCGCAGATGTTTTAGGACACTCTATATCTACGCTCTGTTATTGAACACATTTTGTGAAATGTGTAGGTACCTACCTAATTAAGAATGCTACACAATAATAAAGGAACATTCACCTTGTTTGTTTCCCAGTCGAATCGCTTATACGTTCCAAATCAGGCTATATGTGAGCGATTATGAAAAAAACATTTTCAGAAAGAATCCGAGTAATAATGCGAATTGATAGATACGAAAGTTGTTTACGAAATATAATTTTTCGAGTTGTGTAACTGTAGTTGAATCATCGGTAGGAGCAGGCGAATGAGTGTGCAAGTTTGTTGTTTGTCTCATGTGATCCTACACTGAAAACAATTTATAAACTATTATTTACCTTATAGAAGAGTATCTCGTCGAAAACATTTAACTTGACATGTGGTATATTCACAAACACAGTTACGATTCTAAACAAACCGATGCACAAGTACAACCACACTCTGTGTATTTGTTATATTTGAAACTGTTGTTGTTCCAGGTTTATTACACTATTTCACTTAAAACGTAATACATACTTTTCGTCCACCATGCTTACTGAGACATACAACTTCACTAATATTTGTTTGGTGATTAAGTTCTACGGTTACAACGTTGCCGTCATCGCATGTTTTAAAAACCTTTCACTGCTGGATTATTTACAAAATTTTTCACACAACCGCACGACGTTCCTTGATTAAAACCGTGTTTCATTGACGTTTTCGGAGATAAGGGCTAATATAGCTCATTGATGAGATGTTTCACATTTAAATATTTTGTAACCTCGTAAACAGGCAACGCAGGACCGGCAGAGCGACGGAACCATGAAGCGAGTATTTTCACCTCCCAATCACCCTACAAAGCTGCTCATAAAGAAAGTGTGCGCATGTTTTTCATGTTGCGAAGTATTAGACAAGGACGGCGCAAATAATTAATAAGCGAAACAAAGAAAAGATATATAACAAACCATTAAAATCGCGCCCCCTTTTGAAAAATATGACAACTAAGTTTAAATATTTCATGGTTAACAAGATTTAATATCTTTTTCTTACCATATAATGTATATACAAAGTATCTATCTTATCTTTTCTCTTCTCGCTCGCAACAAAACAACAGCCGCGGTCGGCGTATCTTCTAGTCAAATAGTATGTATTCGCAGGATGTTATACCCTCTTATCATTTCTCATTTATTAAGATATTTAAACGACCCCTTTAATTGTTACAAGCAGTTATATTGCAATAATAGACAACAGTTTCACCGTGTTGTACATACACCTTAAATATTAATTACAACGTTGCAAAATGCGAAGTAAAAACAATTCTTTGACGTTTGACATGACGTAAGTAAAAACAAATAAATATAATCTCTTATTATGATATTAAACAAACTCTAAGGTAGATCGCTGACGATGCGATTTTGCTAAGCAAATAAAGTCGTGTTTATTGCGAGGACTGTACTTGGAAGATAGCGTTAACGGCCAATTCTTCTGCCTCCAAAATACTTCAGGTAGTCTTTTTGTTCGTTTTTGTATAGACAGAGAAAGAGGGACCGTGAATTTTCTGTACTGTCAGGGCGAGGGGGCCACTTTATGCAAGGAGGGAAAAGGGAGAAAGGTTACTTATACCTACTTAGTATGTTTCTCTACGAAACTCGATAACAAATAACCAGTTTACAATTAATAAAATGTCAATAAGTTTCATATATTTCCGTGTGTACACCCCTTTATTTGTCCAACAGAAAACTTTATTGATCGAAACGTAATAATATTAAAACGTATTGAAATATAACTTAATTGTTTTAGTAGACAATAATATGTTTTAAAACTTTTAAATGACATGTTTTGTACTAAAACCACATACTTCTCACACATAGAAGTATGTGACTAAAACATTTGTTTGATGGAGTAGATATGCCTTCTTGCAATTAATCGTCTGTAATTAAAATAATTTCTATTTTTGGATATCACATGTATCATTAGTTTCTAATTTTAGATTGTGAAAGAAATATAGGACCTAATTTGCTTTTTTCAAGAAGAATTGCCTACGCAGGTAGGTTTATCAAAAAATGTTACTATATTTTATATACATACATATTATATTTGAATAAGGATAAAGGCACATAGTTTTCTAACTATTAAAACCAAGACATCAAAAATATAATAGGTGCCATAATTGAATTATTTTATTTTGGAAAGAATAATTTCGTATTAAATCGATGTTAATGCAAATTGAACCTCCATTCTATCGTGTTTTATAATGAAATTAGTTCATTTGAGGGGAATAAACGGTTTCGCTGCAAATATTTAGGGGCATTGTCTCCGACTGCACTGCTGGTTGCATAACGATTTTAGCGTTGAACCTTATTTTTAGGTCTACACACTTCAAGGAATGTACCTTGAATTCAAGGTTGACAAAACATCGTGTTTGTTCTGCAGTTGCTTTAGTTCACAAACGCTCCTCTTGGTTCTACTGAGATGATCCGCCACATATGCCCTTTCGCAAGAAATCTGTTTCATTAAAAATTTTTCTTCTAAATGTTAGCATACCTACTTAGCAATCACATTTTTTATTATTTTTGATGATTAGTTCAGTTTCTGACCACCGATTTCTATTCGGTTTTTATATTCCTCGTCATCGATTTTTTATTGTTAAATTTAACTTTTCGTAAAGCTTAGCAACCATAATGGGAGTTTTCAAGGAAAAATCGATACGAAATAGAACGTCAGGAACAAAACAGAAAATTTTCAAACAATTTGGATTCAAAATGGCGGCTGTAGCTGATGGCAAGCAACATCATTTATGCAAAGGTCTTGGAATAAAAAAAAACAAAAATTTTCAGATATACCTATACTAAAAAATAATAATTGTTGATTTAGTGAACATTAAAAAAAAGTATTGCAAAAAACAACAAATTTTGCATTAAATTGTTAACAATGAAAATTAATCAATCGAAAAACTTCTACGATGTTCACCGAATTATGTTGTTATGAAGCTCTGCACAAAATTTCAAGCTGATGCATTCAGAACTTTTTGATTATTTTTCCGGCCAGTTAAAAAATTGTGGTTTCTCGAAAAAACCCTTTTAAAGTTTTTGTTGACATTTAGCATACTTCAAACGGCAATGCCTGCTCCATATAATTGACCTACACAGGACTGGATTAAGGGGGGGCTACGGGGGTTGTAGTTCTGGGCCTCACGAGATCGGGGGGCTTCGGGAAGATCTGGTAAAATTAAATTTAGCTTTTTTTTTAGAATCATACCAAAAAGTGTTTAGGTTTTGAAATTTTTATATCGACAAGATGCTGATTGCGTGACTTTTGTCTTAACAAATTTATATTAATTATTTTTTTTTATAACTTAGATACTAATATCTACGAAGCCATAAAAGGGCCATGTCTAAAATTTTTTTTTAATTCAGACTAAACAACGAATTCACACTTTAAACTCTGAATTCGGAGTTTAACTCTCAATTGAGCAGCAAAAGGATATAAGTATAAATATTAAGGGCCCAAAAGTTAGAAACAGGTAATTGTAAGCTGGTCAAGGGCGCCTCTAATGCCATGTCGCATAGTGTTAATGATCCCGAAGAAGTATAATACACTTTACCTAAAAATGAATTTATTCCTCGAGTGATATCTAGGTTTTAACTGAAAATTAAAATTTTTTAAATTCAGCACCTTCCAGGATCCCTTAGAAAAATTTTAGAGGAATTTTCATTGGAACGAAACTGAATAATTCAGAGATTAAAGTCTGAATTCAAAGTTTAAAGTCTGAATTCAAAATTTAAAGTCTAAATTCAAAGTTTAAGTCTGAATTCAAAGTTTAAAGTCTGAATCAAGAGTTTAAAGTCTGAATTCAAAGTTTAAAGTCTAAATTTAGAGTTAAAAGTTTGAATTCAAAGTTTAAAGTCTGAATTCAAAATTTAGTCTGAATTCAAAGTTTAAAGTCTGAATTCAGAGTTCAAAGTCTGAATTCAGAGTTTAAACTCTGAATTAAAAAAAAAATTAGACATGGCCCTTCTACGGCTTCGTAAATATCAACTGCTACATTTAGTAATAAATATTAACATCACAGGAGTTTTGTTTTGATACTGCACGTTTTTGAAATGAACAATGACGAGAATATAAAATAACACAAGAAACCTATATTTGTGAACTGTGGAAGAGTTCGATCGAGATTTTTTTGAAACACACGAACACATGAACTGTTTTTAAATTTTAGAACTAATCAGTGTGTTCGAGTTTAATTTTTTTTGTAACTATCTCCTCTACATCTGCGCCCGAATCAGATTTCACTGTAACATTTCCACAATCCACATTTCTTTCAAGCTTCACCGTAACCTTTTCGTAACTTAAGTGAGACCTATAAGGCATCATCACTTGAGTGTTTTCTGGAATGTCTCCTTTCTGTATGTAAGCCACCGTAGTGTACATCGTGTAACCTTTGTCTATGTTCAAGTGACCTTTATGAAGTAGAAATCCAATCATGTGCTCAGCTTCTTCCTTTGTACAACTTGGTTTCTTTATTGAAGGAATTCTTAGTTCTTTAGTTCCCGACTGGAACCATGCTGTTATCAGTTTGTTCAGGGTCAATTTGACTTCCTTCTGGCTGGCCGCTTCAATCAATTGGACGATGTCTTTAAGAGCTGGATTAATATCATAATAGGAGACTTCCTTAGGGTTCCTGCAGTGGTCACACATTTTGGTGCAGTCTGTTGGTTCCCACTTGTCTTCAAAGAACTCGGCTATCAAGGCTCTTCGACATCTAAACAGGAGAAAATTACGTTACGATACGAGCAGAATCGTTTGTTGCTTTGTTTATGTTCTTCAAATTCATTTTGAAGAATTCTTACCTACTCTGATCCAGGCAGTACCCCAAAATAGATTTTGCATTTTTTTCTTCTGTTTTTGACGAGGCCATGCTAACGTTCCTCAGAAAGTCCGACAAATTGAACATTAGAATGCAGTCCGAGTTTTTTCCATCCCTACCGGCTCTGCCGCTTTCTTGATAGAGGCCTTCCATGCTTTTTGGTATAGCATGATGAATTACATATCGAACGTCTGGCTTATCTGCAAAAATTTTTAATCTCCTAAACATGTTTTATCATATTTCAACTTTTCAACAAATTTTACCTATCCCCATTCCAAAAGCGATAGTGGCCACTACAGCTTGGTACTTATTTTTTAACCATCTTTCATGTATGATTTTTTTAGACTGCGGGTCTAACTGCGCGTGATAATATTTCACTCTCAGATCTCTCGTGCTCAATCCTTCCGCCAATTCTTCACATTCTTTAATCGTCGACGTGTAAATGATGCCAGATTGGTCTTTGTGTTTGTGTTTGAGAAGTCTTTCTAAAAAATCCAAACATTCAGTCTTTTCCGGTGGCTTGTTAACGATCTAAAAATAAGAATTCTTGAACAAATGCTTATGTGCTGATTGTACATACGGACCTTGTAAAATAAATTGGGTCTGTTGAATGGGGCAGTTATTATTAGAGAATCATGAAGGCTTAACATGTTTTGAATGTCGACTAGGACCTTCATCGTAGCTGTAGCCGTTAAACCAAGAATGGGGACCCCGGGAAACATCGACTTGAAAAAACCTAAATGATTGTATTCCGGACGAAAATCGTGGCCCCATGTGGAACAGCAGTGTACCTCATCTAAAACTAAATAGCTTCACATCTTTTAATAAGAAATTTGTTAAACTTACCTATTACTATACGTTTCAAGTACCTCTTGTCGAAACATTTTTGCAAGTAGGTCATGAACAACTTACTTTTGGCAACCCATTCCGGCGTAACGTATAATAAATTAACTTTGGTATGTTCGTTTAACATTTCATGATGGACAAACTTTTTGTCCTCTTTACTCGAGCTTGCGTTCACAGTGGCAGCTCCGATACCTAATTTCTTTAAAGCTATTAACTGGTCTTCTATCAGGGATATCAGTGGGGAAATAACCAATGTTAAGTGTTTGTCAATTAATGCTGGTAGTTGGTAGACAAGGCTTTTTCCACCACCTGTAGGCATCAACAGTAAGACGTCCTTCTTGGATAAGGTAGCGTTTATAGCAGCAAGTTGTCTAGATCTAAATTCCTTGAATTGAAATTTCTGCGTAAGGAGTCTCATTATTTCTTTGGACCACTCAAATTTTGTGTCCACCCACACGCTAGTATCAGGTCGTTTTCTTACTTTCGCCAAATTGTATTCGTTTTGTAACTGTTCTTTTTCTGCGGACAGTTTTTGGATTTTAGTTTCGATCCTCAATTTCTGTGACTTCAGACCTGTTATCGTTGTTTCTAGATCATTTAGTTTGACAATGTAATCTATAATAAAATAAATATGAATATAAGGTATAGGATATTTAAAGTAATTTTTTAACTTTACCTTCGTCCTTCATGGTGTATAGTTGTACTGAATGAATATAAAATTCTGAATTATTACTATTATTAGCTTGTCATAGATTCAATCATTTTTGACTAGTGAAATCTTAACATTTTCAGTAGTCAAGGTACAGTATTTACCATCTAATTTATTAAAAACAAGTTTCAAAATTGTGAATGTCAAAATTCAAATTCACTGATCGTCTTCTTCTTCTTTAAATACAACCGTTGGTCCGTTGCGTGTACAGCTTTGTCTTAAATTGTTTCTTCCCAATATTCTTAGACGAACTAAAGAAGACTTTACTTACAGTTGTAATATATACCCCTTTTAAATAGTAAAGTAGGTATGATATTTTTTGTAACATTTTTACTTTTAGTCCATTCTGAAAATTGTATAAAATGTATTGATCTATAGACTGTCATAGGATAAAAGGTACTTTTATTTAATTCTGGTAAGTGGAACAGTTAAGGTTTTTCCAAAATTCGTGTGAAATTTGAATATTACTACCTAAATTAGTTACTATAATAGATGCCTTAAGTCTGAATTAATAAAAGAATAAGATATATACGTCGCAAAAAACTTCGGGAAACAATTTAGAACTGCCCTTTACATTTTTTACTTTATTATAATGTGTCATGAGACTAAGGCTACTGTTGAAAAGTATTTGCTTGTATTTTTCAAAAATGAATTTATTGAGATATTTTCCATTTCATAAAAATTTGTTTCAGAGCTACAGCAAACGTCAGGTTTATTTACTTGTTAGAACGGGTTAATTTTTAGGATGTGTCTTGGATTTTGAAAGAAACTGATGATATGTAACGCACTTTATTGTATATTTTTTTGCATAAAAATATATTAGGTAAATATTATGTACAGCATAAATACATAAATAATTTATTACAAGAAGCATGTATATAAAATATATATAAAAATTATAACGAAAAAAGCAAAATATGTATTTAATTTAAATAAGTACAAATTTTTGTAATTAGTATTTTGGCAAGATAATAATTTATAAAAAAAAGTAATCAAGATTTTTTCTTACAATGGGAAATTTACCTAAAAATATGTATACTGACGTTACCCTCCGGCACTTTTTTCATTATGGTCCAAGCTTCCATTCTAGACAAATTTGAAAAACTAATGTCGTTTATAAAAAGAATCTCATCACCAACTTTCAGCTGACCGTTTTTGTCTGCTGCTCCTCCTAAAATAATAAAATGATGCATTTTTCTTCAATTTCTTTAATTCATGATTATTTATATTTGAAATTACCTCTCTTTATTTATAATAAATTGTTAAATCGCAATTTGTTAAAGTTTAAGTAGGTATTTGAAAATTTGTAGACCTACCAGTAAAAATTTTCTTTACAATTAATGGCACATCTCCAACTGGGGAATCTTTGCCTCCTTCAATACTGAATCCAAGTCCAGCACCATCTTTCAAGAAAGAAATAACGTTATTCGCCTTTTTGGCAGGGACTTCAACAGCAGTGGCGCCTGAAAATTTGCATAGTTCTTAACAATTCACAAATATTAAGGAATACCAACTAACTTTTTATGTCAGTTAGGACAGACAACGACGACGACCGACGCTGTAAATTACTACCAGCAGATGGCACTATTTCGATCCCTTCTTCCATTTCTATGACAAATTCAGTAACAGGCTCCTGAAAAAAATTCATATGTCTATTTAAATGGATCCAAGCTGATGCAGGTAAATAAAATTGCGGTCGTTTATTACAAGCAGGACAAGCTTTATGTGATTCGCGGAAGGCCTTGACCATGCCTGCAATAATAACATGTACCAGGTTTTCCCAAACACACTTGCATTTCTACCTACTCTTTATGTCATACCGAAGCTTATCTATCACGGACCGTGTGATATTTTCTAAAACTAATACTAACACGTTTGTCAATAATTTGCACAAGTGGGAAACCGACATTCCTTGCGAGGAACGCTATTTCCTATATTAATAATTCCTAGTTCGACACTTCGGTGTATAAATAAGGCGGCGAAGTGGCGGGGTTTCCACGTGGTTCGGGATTTGTTTCTCTTGTCACGCAACGCATTGCCGGGTCGATTTATATTACTTTGACGGACATATGCACAACAGAAATCGAGTATTACAGCTGCAGTACTGGGCATTTTTATTATACTTCGATATGCGGGTGATAATTTGTAGCATTCATCCCGTAAAAGCAAAACGAATAATGTTTACCTTTAATAATTCAACAGCTTCGTCGTGGGTTAAATTACTGGTACTTTTACCATTGACAGAAACAATTTTATCTCCCCTTTTTAAGCGTCCATCGTGGTAGGCGACGCTGCCATAACGAATTCGGTGAACCTAAAAAAAAAGTTCGAAATATATCCCAACATATCGTAATATTACGCTGTTTAATCTAATACATTCAATATTTGGTGTGTTAGAATAACAAACATTCAACAACTTTATTAATTATTGCTGTAGAAACTTTATTGATTCAGATAATTAATATTAATTTGTTTTTAGTCAATCGTCACTATTTCCACATGCACGCGACGAACGAACTAGTTTAAATACTACTTAATATCAATTATTTTTAATGTTCACAGTCCAAAACAAATCGTTATTAATTGCGACAATAATTTACGCCTTTAATTTGTTGGAACTGTAATATGTTTAATAAAAAAAAATGAGAGTATTAAAAGTGCGAAAATAGGTTAACCATTATGGTTTCTATTTTGCGGGGAAAAAAGTCAGCAGTGCTAATTACAGTGAAGTCGAAGACCTAAAGCAATACAATACTCAAAGGATTGTTTATGTAACTAATTTTAACAATTTCTTAGCTCGCTAAGTGTGTTAGGTTAAAGTACTCGCAATACATTTCGATGTGTAGGTGTAGGTAGTTTAAAAAAATCGCGTAGATGTTGATCTGTCATACGTGCCTCCCGATTCAAACGTCGATAGCAAACTGTGGGGGGAAAATGTTCTAATACGCTCAGCAGGTTCTTTTTTTATATAAATAATACCATTACTAAATAGGCAAAGTTTATTCCATTGTTACCTATTTTATTCGACGCCGAAAATAACACAGATTTAGTTATCAAAACAAAATATTTATCCGCGTTATATTCTTGTTATAGTCACTGCTACTAGCTAATTACGTATTGATGAATCAGTTTCATTCTGTTTTGAGTCACCTAGGTGATGTTACAAAAATAGTTTTTTATCTGCAAATCTTTCCTTTTTAAGATATCCAGTATTGATAACATTGTACGAAGATATGAAATTCTTTCCTCTACTAAGTATATTTATTAGAAACACAATGTATTTCTATTGAATAAACTATTTTATACAAATAAATACTTACACTAATCTCCTTATTTTCATAGTCGGTACCTCCAGCTAAGGTTATGCCTAAACTACCCCCTAGACTGTCCAAATGTAACGTAATAGTTTTAGCGTCCGCTTTATTCTTTTCTACTTTTTTTATGACTTTATTCTCTTCCTCCTGTTTAATAACCCTGGCCTCTTTCGGTTTAACTTCAACCTTCTCAGTCTTCTTTACGGGAGTCTCGAGTTTGGAAATAATTTTACTTTCCGTCTTCGCGATTTCCGCTTTCACGTTTTTCGTAGCGATCTGGGACTTGTAAATCGGTATTTTGACAGCCGGGCAAGGGGGTTTCGAGCCGAAGTTTTCGAAATTCTCTTTTAATGCTTTGACGTTGATCGGCTTGGCTTGCCTGGAACGGATATCGAATGTCTTGTACAAGGGTGAGAATTTGTTTTCCTTCGAATCCTTAGTATGGTTTTTGGACGTAACCGGACAAGTGGGGGGTTTGGCCGGAGTGATGTTGCTCTTCAGTGGTGGTTTTTGTGGAGCCTCTTCTGAAACAAATTGCGTGTTTCAATAAAAAAAATTGTAATTAATCAAACGAATAAATTAAGAGTTACCAGTAAAGATTGGCGCTTTGACCCTCAAAACCTTAAAAAAATTAATGAAGTGTCTGCTATCTCCGCGTTCCGTCGGCATTTGTTTTAACAAATGATCGAATGCATGACTTTAAGGTTAAATCTAGATATCTGGATGCTGTCCCGAAGTTGATTGGTTGTTGACATTCGAAGCGTTAATATTTTATTTTTATCTGTTACATCTACCGTTAGGTTTTTTGTGGATCAATAGAATTGTTCGCTTCTTTATCTAGTGTGTTAAAAACCATTAATTATAAGTTATCTAAAGCTTTCATTATTTTAATAACATATTCTCGGTTAATCAGGGAGACATTTTCGAATAAAAATCAAAATAATTCGAAATATTTTTACGTATAATATAAAAATTTATCATACAACAACACTGGATTAAAGATAAGAAGCACATGTCCAAGTGACATGCGCTTTTATTAGAATTAGTTATCAATTAAGTAAATGTAGTAATCTTTGAGTATTAAGGTAAAGAGATTGTTGTTTAATATTTTTTTAAGGACGAATCCTTTAATCCGTCACGTACTATAAAACAGAGGCGGCTGGTGATATTCGAAGCGGCTATATTTTTATAAATGAAGGCCCACAATAAGAATTATTGTTGCTATCTCGGATCTGGAAAAGTATTGAACGTATATGTGCAATATTATATTTTTTTCATAATCAATTAATAATAATTATTTGTCCATTTCAATTCTCACGAGCCGCCGCTGCAATGAAGGATATTTTGGGAGCGGATACATCAGGATTTACACGACTTCAAGCAAAGATAAAATATGTTTTCAATCCATGTGTATAATGCCACACAATGACGGATTATCTGGTTTAAAGATAATCCGACATTTTTTTTAAATTAGCAAAGTAAATATATTCAGTAACTTACCGATTTCCTCGATTTTGCTAGGTTTTTTCGTCGATTCCTTAATCTCGATCTGTTTGGAAATCATTTCGACGTCAGCAAATGCATCGTTAACTTTATCCAAGATTCTAGCTTCAGGCGGCTTTGGAACAATTTCTTCTTTTGGTTTTTCGACCGTCTCAGATTGGTCGCTTTTCTGGTTCTCTTCCTGCTTCCTTCGGATGACCGGAGATCCAATTTTCAAGTCTTTACCACTTCTACATTTGGCCGAAGCTAAAATGTTTTTCCTGTTGATAGCCTCAACGCTGGAAGGTTTCAGGAGGCGATTCTGGATGTTCAATTTGTCGTCGTCTTCCGATTTGTTTTTGTAACTGTTCAATTCGCAGGAACGCGTGGGGGAAGGCGGGGGAGAAAACCTGGAATTGTAGCTGGATTGACTTGAACTCACAGCGGAGTCGTTGTCACTTTCGTCTTCCTTGCTTTGGAGTGACTTGCCGAAGGAATCTCTGATGTATCTCTTCGTAGAGCTGACGTAGTCGAAGCTGCAATCTGATCTAGTCGGCGACGATATACTCTCCAATGATTTTGGTGGATTCAGATCGTCTTCATTCGCTTTGTAGGTTTTGGAACTAGGTTTGTCGTAGAACTTGATCAGGTCGCTATGGGATGTGTAGTCACTTGTTCCGTTCTTGCTGATACTCGTTGGATACACCTGAAGACTCCTTCGTTTAAACGCTGGGGAATATTTTGGAATGTTATTACTTGTGATTACAGGCCAAGGGGGTACCGAGGGCTTAATCGAATAATCACTATAACTCGAGGAAAACGTTTGCGTACTAACATTATTATCTACTTTTTGTACTGGCACGAAGGTCGCTGTATTCTGGCTCTTTATTTCTGGTATGCTAACTGAGGGTAGTATATCGCTTTCTGAGGCTTCGGGTATAACAAGACCTTTCAATTTCGAAAGTCCTTTTCTCCTTTGTTCCATCAGTACGTTCCACTTGGTATTTTTCTGCTTCGACAAGGCTGACATGTCTATTAAACTTTGAGATCTCGTATGTAGGTTCGTGGGTGGTTCTTGTACCAATCCGCTGTATTTCAAGTCTTCTGTTGAATCGTACATTTTTGGGCGAAGGTCAGTGTTCGACGAACTGACCGAATGGCATAGGATCAAGTTAGTAGGTCTTATGGGAAATTCAAGCGTTGTCCGGTACGTATCCTTGTGGGTGAATGTATCCGAATGTCTGTTTTTCACGTTATCTTCGAAATACGACTGACTGCGCTTCACAGATTCGGTGTTTTCTATAAAATCGGGAAACTCATGACCATCTGGTGGCTGTCTAGAGTCACTTGGGAGAGTTGCCATCTTTCCATCTGCTTCTGAAACAAAATTATTTCATTATTAACGAACGTGACGTACCGAGATCACTTACGGGCTGATATATAATAGCAGCTCGTGTCTCTGAAATGCACTATTCCGATAAATTCACATCGACGTTTAACAAGCTGACGATTAATATATATTTCGAATTTTATTCAACGAGATAAGCCGGATCTAGTTGTTGATAAAACCTATCAGTTTTTCTCTCTCATTTATGCAAGTAATCAATATAAATAATATATTATAACAATAAAAATATAAATAGGTGGAATTGATCAGTATCTGATGGTTTATTTAAATATTCAGAGCTTTAAAATGTATAATAAATGCATGACAAAGTAAATATTAATGTGCAAAGGCAATCGCGTAAATTCGATACAATGAGTAATAACTGTTTAGTCACAAACCAAAGTATGGAATAATTATAAACCTATTTTTAAGTGCAAGGTAAAAATGTTTGGTTAACAGCCAATTTTTACTTTACTAAACAGGGACAGGTTTTTACCCATCAGATAATGTTATTTTTCAAACGCGTGTCACTGTTTAAATTTTTTTGCAATTACAGTTACCAGCAGTAGGCATTTGAAGAGTAGGCGCATGGCAAATTTCAAGTATATCTTAAATATTATCGATATTATGCAATTTAGTTTTATCAATAGTGTTCGATAAATTTGCTATTCCCCGAAGCAATATATTTGCGATAAATAAGTAAAACAAACACAAAAATGTGTTATTTATTTATTAAATCGAAACTGTGATAAATTCTCGTGGAATTCTGCGAAAAATAGCAAAACAAATGTAAAGTAATCTTACCGGAAGACAATACTGAGTTATCCAAATTAGAACACTATTAAACATGCTTCTTTTAAACCATAAGAATATTTAAGTCACTCTTTCTGGGTGTGGAGAACGTCTCGTGCGGTAAGTTGGAATAAAACTAAATGGCAATACAAATCCGTACTACACCAACGTTCAGCGATATATTCTCTTGGAAATATCTTAACACGCCGCGAAAACCATTCTCTGCCTCGTATCGGCTATTGTTTAAAATAAAACCAATAACCATTAATATTTTTCACGGTTTGTTGTTCTATGTACCAAAAGGAACTACACTAAAAACTCGGGAGTACGATCCGAACGAAAAAAAAAAAAAAAAAACGAGCCACGACCGAAGATCGAGTTTACTTAGTTGAGGAAACGATTTTTGGTCGTCGTTTTTGTGTGTTCATTTTTTGTTAATTGGCCACGACTTAAGTCGGGGTTTGCAACAAGAACTTAACTGGCGAGAGGAGGGAGAAATGGCGAGCAAGCATCAGGTCACTGGACGTGGAGTCAAGGGCATCGGGCTAGCTATGGTATGGATTGTCGATCACATTGTAACTGCATTTTAACTTGTTCAATGGCAGCAGCAACCGCCGGTTTTAAGGATATGGAACATTCGTCTAACGTACCCGACGATGCTTTCGCATACTTCCAAGAAAATTGTTTAAATAAGTACCTTTTATATCTAAATTATATTTTTAGCGAAAAAGTGGAAAATAATTAAAAGTTTTTCCGTTTTCAAGTACAATACATCTCAAAAACGGAGTAATTTCGGACATTTCTTTTAAAAAATTTTAAGTTTCTCTCATTAATCTTAAAACACCCTGTATAATTTAATTTTATGATAAAATGTGTACCTCGACAGTTATTTGATGCACTTTTTATTACTTTGTTTTGCCACAATGAAAAAAAAGTAAATTAATCCTTATCTCCTTTCTCCTTATAGGCTATTGATTATATAAAAAAAACCAGGGTTAAAAGGAACTATGACGTTCAAGCAATTTTGCATGAATCTTTCAAAGGGTCATTTTAGATGAAAAATTATTAAATTAGAGGGTGGACATTGGAGATAGGGGTGAAAATGCACCCCTTTCAGTTTTTTAAATTGTAACTCGATAACGAAGCAAAATTGAATTTCCCATCGAAATGACATTTAAAAAATTTAAAAGGAAAATTTTGTGCAAAAAAATCGTTAATAAACAATTTGAAAAAAAAGCAAATAATTCGATTTTTTGATTTTTTTTACATTTTTGCCTCTAGTTTTTTTTTGAGTAAAGATAGGTATAGGCATTGCTTCATAGAAAAAAAAGTAGATAAAATTTCCTGCAAAATAAGAGGTTGTAAAGTATTTTTGGATGATAATTGACTGATATATGGCCGCTCAAACTTACAATTAGCCAATTTTTCGATTTTCGTCGCGTTTAAGTTTTAATTCTCATTTTTTGCAAAAAGGAAGGAAATAAGACGTTCAAGGATTTTCATCACGTGACTTGGTCGAAAGGTCATTAAAAATGAAAAAACCGCGGGGTGCCAATAAATTAGAGGGTTGAAATTGAAGATAGAGGTGAAAATGCCCTTTTGCAGTTTTTTAAATATAGCACGAAAACGAAGCAAAATTTCGGTATAGTTGATAGGAAAAATTTTGTAGAGAATTGAATATCCCATTGAAATGGCTTATTTAAAAAATTTAAAAGAAAAATTTTATGCAAAAAATCGTTAATTTAAAAAAGCAAAAAATAAGATTTTTTACTATATTTTTAGTAGAAGTAGGCAAAGAAAATTGCTGTACAAAAAAACTAGATGAGATTCCCTTTAAATTGATGCATTTCCAAAAGTTTTTGGATTAAAAAAAGCAAACTTTTTTGACTCTAATTTTTGTTTTAATAGAAGTAGGCAAAGAAAATTGCTGTACAAAAAAACTAGATGAGATTCCCTTTAAATTGATGCATTTCCAAAAGTTTTTGACTGAGTTATAGCCGGTTAAACTTCAATATTTTATAGATTTTCATCGTTTTTAACATAATAATGATTATAATTCTTATTATTTTACAACAAATTGGTTCTTTACTTATTACAAATTATTTCAAGTTTTATTTGTTAATAATAAATAAAGTTTTTCACAACTTGGAGATAAAAAAGTAAAAAATATCAAAAATCTTATTTTTTGCTTTTTTAAAGTTGTTTATAAACGATTTTTTTGCATAAAATTTTTCTTTTAAATTTTTTAAATAAGCCATTTCGATGGGAAATTCAATTCTTTACAAAATTTTTCCTGTGAACTATACCGAAATTTTGCTTTGTTTTCGTGCTATATTTAAAAAACTGCAAAAGTGCATTTTCACCCCTATCTTCAATTTCAACCCTCTAATTTAATAGCACCCCTGGTTTTTTCATTTTTAATGACCCTTCAAACAAGTCATGTGAAGAAAATCCTTGAACGTCTTATTTCCTCTCTTTTTTGCAAAAAATGAAAATTAAAACGTATAATGATAAACGCGACGAAAATCGAAAAATTAGAAATTTGAGCGGCCATTTGAGCGGTCAATTTTCATCCAAAAATACTTTAAAACCTCTTATTTTGAAGAAAATTTTATCTATTTTTTTTTCTATTTTATTCATAAAAAGAGGCAAAAAAGTAAAAAAAATCAAACAATCGAATTTTATGCTTTTTTTTTCAAATTGTTTATTAACGATTCTTTGCATAAAATTTTCCATTTAAATTTTTTAAATAAGCCATTTCGATGGGATATTAAATTTTCTAAATAATTTTTCCTATGAACTATAGCGAAACTTTGCTTCGTTTTCGAGCAACAATTAAAAAACTGAAAAGGGTGCATTTTCACCCCTATCTCAAATTTCCACCCTCTAATTTAATAGCACTCCGCGGTTTTTTCATCTATAATGACCATTTGAACGATAGCCTATTACATCAAAATGATCAGTAGAAGAAACTGTCATTTTCAGTCATTTTCATTACGAAATGGCAAAATGTGATCGAATGCCTATCGGATTCGCTATTTTTCTCGAAAACATTGCGTTCGTTTTACGAAAAAAATATCAAAGGATAAAAAAGTTTCTAAATTCAATGGCTTTCTAGCGAACTAATAATTAAAAAAAAAAATCAAATATGCGACTAAATTTTTTTGTCTCCAAAGACAAGGAGGCCCTCGAAAAAGCGCCTTGAGGGGGTTCCTCGCGACAAGAAGCATAGCACTATCAGATTCCACATGTCATAAAACCCCTGTGTACCAAATTTAGTGACTTTAGTACAATAGGGTTCTGAGATATAAAAAAGACTATTCTTAGGGGGGATTTCAGGGGGCTGTAACTCCGAAAGAGGGGGCCACTTGGCAAAAATGAAAACTACTGATGCCCTAAATTTGTCTTAAGAATCTGTGACCAAATTTTGTTGCATTAAGTAGTACCGAAAGCAGCACTGCATTTTGAGGAAATACAGTCTTGCCTCACTATCGAGTAAAAAACGTAAAATTCTTTAATCCCAAATAAAATCTGAGGATATACAAAATCCCTAAAACCGTATTAAAGTAATATGCAGTGCTTATATCATTTTATTTACTTTTTTAGTATTGACTCGGTGAAATACTATACAAATATTTGACTATTTTGCAATACGGACATGGGCGTTGCCAGGGGGGGGGGAGGCAGGGGGGCCGCGTCCTCCCTCAACTGCAGGCCGCATGTTTCAAAAAGTGTTTAGGCGTTGAAATTTTATATCGTTGATTGCGTGACCTTTTAATTTTTTTTTATTTTTAGAATGAAACGAAAAACTGTAGGATTTGAAGTGCGTTGTTTCATTTTTTTTTGCAAAAATCCTAACTACGCCCATGAATATATGGATACGTATTTTCTTAAACGAGACAGGTAATAATACGGATAAAATATGCTTTATACCACAATTCAGGGTAAATTTGATGCTGTCCTGTATACGAACGTTTTTGGAGGCTGATGTTGGCTTAAAAGGTGTGCTAGTTTTAAATTAGCGTATATGAATACAGGACGACATTGAAATATTAGTCATAAGGCTACCGTGGTTTTGGTGTTGGATTAGGTCAGCTACTACCGATTATAATAAAATTTGTGATTGTTATTAGCAGTAGCTCGATGATTTCTAAAATAATTGCATATGGAACATGTCATCTAAATATTAATATGGTTA